GAAATGGGGTGAGGTAAGCAGCTGTGGCCTCACTGTGAGGAGTGTGGGGTTGTGGAAAACAGAGACCATCTTGGGCAAGACCCTTTCTGGCCCCATCCCTTGGGACTTACATTTATTGGGAGAGTTAGATACACAAGGCTGGGGATCCTATCATATTAGTGGGTGTGGGAAGGGGCTGGCATCAAAGACACATTCCTGGAAGAGGAGATATTTCAACCCAACTGTGAGAACAGGCAAGTCCTGGATGGAACTGGAGGGAAGGAGGGTTCCCATGTGAGCAAAGACCCCAGACCAGCTCCATGCCCCCTCCCCACCCCTCCTCAAGGCCCCTGCAGGGTCCCCCACACAGGTCCTATCTGCATCCTGTTCTTCCTCTGTCCCAGCAATACAATGTAATTGAAGACATCCCGCTGCTCCAGGAGGCTGCAAATCAATACAACCTCCAACCCAAGGAGCAGTTTGGGGCCTGGTTCCAGGCTGTGGAACCCCTTATTGAGGATGAGAGGTGAGGCGGGGCAGGAGTTGGGTGAGGGTAGGGTGGACTGTTTCTGATGGCCAGCTCCAGGGACTGTGGCTGTGACTCCATGGTCAGCCCCAGCCTCTGTTGCATGGTGAGCCCTGGGGCGCCGGGACTCCAGCTGCTGGCAGGCTCTGGACACCCTGAGGTTGGCCCCTGGTAGCTCACAGCTCCACTCTGTCCTGTAGGTGCAGCCTGTCCTGTCAGCTGGAGCCGCCATTCCAGTGGACCAGCAAGACTCGAATGTTCTTCAAGGCCAAGAGGAGCCCCCCACCTTCCAGCGCAGGGCTGAGTGAGTGTCCAGAGTGGCAGAGACTGAATCCAGATAGGCTTGGGCTAGGTGTGGGTCTGGGGAGTTGGACACCCAGCGCTGGGACCCCAGCTCCACTGCTGAGCAGTCCTGTGATGGGCCATTCCCCTCACCTTTCTGGGACTCGGTTTCCTTCTCTCTGAAACGACTGATGCTAACTGACAACTCCCATGCCAGGGACAAATGGGGTGCTGTGGATTGAGCTCTCAGCACAGGGTTTGGAGCACAGAGTGCAGTGGAGGCAGGGAGGTGGGCCATGATACTGGGGAGGCCCCCCAGTAATCAGCCTCTTCTATTCGGTCACCAGGCCCCCAGCACAGAGCCTGTACCAGGGGCAGAGCATACTCCTGAGACCAGATCAAGTGCAGCCTCTTCCTCAGCAGTGGGGACACAGCTGGGACACTTGGGGTGCCCCGGGCCAGCTTCTCCCACCCTGATGGGAAGGAGAACATTGTAAGCCTTTTCCTGGGGTCCCTGAAGCCCAAGAGAGAGGGGACGACTCACTCCAACTCCCTGACATCTCTACCCCAGCACCTGTTTACCTACTGGGGAGGGGCAATATTGATTTGTTGTTAATAATAAATGTTAGGTTTAAATATTATGTTAAAATCTTGTTTCTTTCACAGCCTGGGAGTGGTGGTGTGGTTCTTCTACTTCCTGTGCTCATGGAAATGTGACACAGAATCTCACATTCCTCTTTGAATTAAGGAATCTTGGAGGGTCACAGCTTATTGTATGTGGAAGAAGGGAGAAAGGCCAGCCCCACTCCCTGGCTGCAGAAGGACACCGTCAAGTACCCCTTCCTCAGGGGACAGGTTCATTGCAGTGTGGTTCACCTAGTCCAGGAACAGAGACAGCCCCTGAGAACTCCTGGGATTTAGAGGTTGGAGGTAATTTCTCAGGCAGAGCAGCAACCACTGAAATATGGGTGTCTTTAAAAATAGCACTGACTGGGGACAGCCCGGTGGCGTAGTGGTTAAGTTCACGTGCTCCGCTTCTGGCGGCCCAGGGTTCGCAGGTTCAGATCCTGGGCACGGACCTACGCACCACTCATCAAGCCACACTATGTCAGGCACCCCACATAAAGTAGAGGAAGATGGGCACAGATGTTAGCCCAGGGCCAATCTTCCTCAGCAAAAAAGAAGGGGATTGGCAATAGGTGTTAGCTCAGGGCTAATCTTCCTCACACAAAAATAAGTAATAAACTAAAATAAAAATAGCACTTAGCAAAATCCCAGGAGACTGGCTGCTTTTCTACAGCTTTGGAGGAAGAGGGAACATTTTCTCCTCTTGTTGAGGTTTCATTTGACCAAATATTAGGAACTTGTAGTTTTCTAGTTCAATCTCTGGATTGCGGCAACTTTAAGTGGAGAAAACAATGTAAAAAGCTCAAAATGTGCATGTGGAGAGGACAAGGCCAGAGGAAGGTCATATAAAGGTGACTAAGTGCAGGCAGAACTTTCTCTCCTAATTTGTCCTCTAGGTGCTCTGTGATCATTCATTCCCTAGGTGGGAATCCCCCTGGGATCCTGGTCCATGACCTCAGAATTCCTTTTCCTGCTTGTTTCATATCCAGGGGAAAGATTTGTGATGCAGTTTTCAAGGCCACTTCTGGACTTTGTTCCATAAACATCACTGCTCTCTATGAACTAGGATTTCCAGCCACCTGCACTTCCTTATACAGCTCATTTTAGGGCAGATATTCCCTAGGAGCCGCCCAGCCTCTCTGTCAGGTGCATTGTGACTCCTCCATCAGGTAGTTTACACTCTGAGCTCATCTTCTTCTTTCCTCATTTAATCTTGTGCAATTAAGAGTAAGTAGCTAATAGTGTCTTCCAAAGAGCAGATATGAACAGACATTTTTCCAAAGAAGATATATAGATGGCCAACAGGTACATGAAAAGATGTTCAACATCACTAATTATTAGGGAAATGCAAATCCAAACTACAATGAGATATCACCTCACACCCCTCGGAATGGCTATAATTAACAAGATGGGAAATAATAAGTGTTGAGAGGATGTGGAGAGAAGGGAACTCTCATACACTGCTGGTGGGAGTGCAAACTGGTGCAGCCACTATGGAAAACAGCATGGAGATTCCTCAAAAAATTGAGAATAGAAATACCTTATGATCCAGCTGTTCCACTGCTGGGTATTTATCCAAAGAACATGAAATCAACAATAAAAAGAGACGTATGCACCTCTGTGTTCATTGCAGCACTATTCATAATAGCCAAGATGTGGAAAAAGCTGAGGTCAGGGCTTTCCTGGGAGTGGCACTCCAGAGCAGCTGGCGGCTCCTTTTACCTTTAAAAGAACTAGTGTTTTTTCCAATAATTTTATTGAGGTCATAATGGTTTATAACACTAATTTCAGGTGTATATTATTGTTTATCAGTTTCTGTATAGACTGCATCATGCTCATCACCAACAGTCTAATTTTTATCCATCACCATATGTATGCGCCCCTTTGCCCCTTTTGCCCATCCCCCAACCCCCTTTCCCTCTGGTAACCAGTAATCTGTTCTTTTTATCCATGTATTTGTTTCTCTTCCACATATGAGTGAAGTCATGCAGTGTTTGTCTTCCTCTGTCTGACTTATTTTGCATAACATAATACCCCCAAGGTCCACCCATGTTGTTGCAAATGGGATGATTTTGTCGTTTTTATGGCTGAGTGGTATTCCATTGTATATATATGTATACCACATCATATTTATCCAATCATCTGTTGATGGGACACTTGGGTTGCTTCCACATCTTGGCTATAGTGAATAATGCTGCAATGAACATAGGGGTGCATAAGTCTCTTTGAATGGATTTTCTCCTCCTTTGGCTCTTAATTTGTATTCTGCTTAGATCTCAAGACTTTTGACCCTGTCAGACATCTGCAGATTTCTCACACACTTCTTTGGCCTAGAGTTCCCACAGAGGATACAAGGATCAGTCTGACTGAATGCTGGGAATCTCTTGATGCTGGGTCTGGGCGTGACACCCCAACTACTGATGTGAGAGCTATATACCTCCATCTTTCTGAGCGGCAGTTAATAGGTAATGCTTTAACCTGGACAGAAAAATCAAGAAATGGAAATATAGTCATGTTATTTACAGAATTAGGGTGTCAGAATGTTTCAAAGGATTCCCCCTCTGGTGTCCTGAGCACATGGACCATGTGCTCCACTGTCTCTGACAGGTTAAGGAAGAAGGTGGAAATGTGGTGGCCCCTGGGCAGAGAACTTAGCAGACAGTCTTCAGGAGGAAGTGGGGGACTGACTTTAGCCCTTGAATACCTTTTCTACTCCTTGAGTTTTTTATTTTTCATTTTTTGGTTCCAAATTTTTTTTATTGAGGTAACATCAATTTATATTATATAAATTTCAAGTGTACATCATTATATTTCAACTTCTGTATAGACTACATTGTGGTGATCACCAAAAGTCTAGTTTTCATCTGTCACCATACAAATGTGCCCCAGTTTTTGCTTTTTCAATGTATTTAATTAGATTTTCCATTAAAAAGTTATTCCAGAGCTAGCCCTGATGGCCTAGCAGTTCAAGTTTGGCGCTCTCACTGCTTTGGTGGCCCCAGTTTGTTTCCCCGAGGCCGCACCACACCACCCCTCTGTCAGTTGCCCTGCTGTGGCGGTGGCTCACACAGAAGAACTAGAAGGACTTACAACTAACAACTAGGATATACAACCACATGCACTGAGGCTTTGGGGAGGAAAAGTAAAAGTTATTCCAACCTCTCAGGAATGCCAAATTGGTCACATTACAACTGTCTGAAAAGCACCTGAGTCTCTTCAAGTATCAGTTCGCTCCTCTGAAAGATCTTGTCCTGACGTCGGATCTCCCCACCGCCCTGAGTCCACACTCAAGGGTGCCGCAGCTTCCCAGATGGTAGCCTCAAGCCGGGAGCTCCGCCCCTCCCTCCCAGCGCGCTGGGAAAAGGGCGGCTCCAAACGCAGTGCACCTGTGCGATTCGGGAAGCAGTCTAGGCTGCCGGGTTTCGGAGGGAGGCCTGGAATCCAATGGGAAGGGCGAGGATGGGGAGGGGCTTGCCAAAACCCCTTTAAATAAGGCCCAGGCCAGGCCCCTGCTGCCGGAGCCGGTCCCAACCGCGGCCTTCGGGTTTGCAGCTGTCCCCCAGCTCCCCGCGAGGCCGGCCGCAGCATGGCCACTCCCAGGCGGTTTCCGACGCTCGTGCAGCTGGAGCGGCGAGAAGGGACGCTGTTCGAGGTGCTCGGTAACCTCACCAAGCAGCCCTACTGGTTCCACTTCGAGTACCTGAAGAGTCCAAAAGCAGTTCACCTGGAGGCATGGCTGGTGGAAGCGATCTTCGGTGCGTGGGCCGGAGAGGGGCAGCCGATGTGGCCTCCTTCCTACTCCTCCCGCAGGCTGGCCACGTACCCGGGCACGCCTGTCCTGTGCCCCTGGCCCCAGCCCAGGCCCCTCCCGGCCCCCACCTCTTCCCGCCGCCCTCCCCTCCCAAGTCCCCCCACCTCGAGGCCTCTTTGTTTCCTGCGCAGGCCCGGGAGGAGAGCACATCCCGCACGTCGAGTGGGTGTCGCAGACCCTGCTTCACGTTAATCAGTGGGACCCGGAGGGCGAGGCTGAGATCCTGATATTCGGTCGGCCTGATCACCAGAAGGATGTATCCAAGATGATCATGAACTTGGCTGACTATCACCGCCACCTCCGGGCACCAAGTACGGGCAGGGAAGAGGGAGGGGGACCCCGGGCAGGCCCTAGTTCCTCGGGAGGATCCTGATGCTCCCTGGCTGTGCCTGGGCAGCGGTTTCATCCTTAGTTCGCCCAGGGAGGGTTTCCTTTTTGCTAAGGGATCTAGAAGGCCAAATTGACCCCGTGCTCTCAGATTCCGGTTCTCCACCCCCGCAGCCCCTACAGGTGACTCCGTTTGTGGAAAGAGTTTGGGGACACAGGTGCGGTCTCCTTACCTTCTTCCAGGCTCAAAGAAGGCCGTTGTCCAGGAGGCCGGGAACCTGCGGCCCCCTGACGCCGTCCGCGACGCGGCGACCCAGCCCTCCCCGGGGGCCGTCCGCGAGGCGGCGACCCAGCCCTCCCCGGGGGCCGTCCGCGAGGCGGCGACCCAGCCCTCCCCGGGGGCCGTCCGGGAGGCGGCGACCCAGCGCTCCCCGGGGGCCGTCCGGGAGGCGGCCACGCAGCCATCCCCGGGGGCCGTCCGGGAGGCGGCGACCCAGTACTCGCCTGGCGCCACCCAGGGCCGGGTTACCAGCTTATGAAGGCATTTTGGGCCCGGGGCGAGGGAGAGGCAAAGTTAGAGAGGAAGCCCCTATCTGGAGCCCTATTCTTCTAGGTCCTGCTCCTGCTGCAGAAGCGGGGGAAAGCATGGTGTGGGCTGTTCTCGGTCCCCCACTCCATGTTAAATGTCTGCAAATACGAATAGAAAGAGTCCTAATAAAGAACTGTAAAGAATCGAATTTCCTTAACGTCTGTTCATTGGCAGGTAGAAGGGGAGGGAGAGGCACGTTCCTTTAGCAGGCAATATCGGCTGCAGGCTGACTTCTACCCAGAGGCAGGTGAGATCTCTCGGATTTCCGGCTGATCCGAGGCCGCCCTTTTCCCGTCAGGGCAGGTGCTTCCCTTGTGCATTTTAATCGCGAGCATCTCGCTCCGCCAGGTGAGAGCTCTCCGCCCATCTGGAAACCTCTCCAAGCCTGCGGTGTTTCTCCTCAAGGTGATGTGGGATGCGAACAGTTGGTTCCGAGGGGGAAGCTGGGAGAAAGAGCCAGGACTGCCCTGCTGTCGTCCTCGAGTCTCGCCCGGGTCACGGCCTCCAGTGAGGTTTGACACGGGAGAGACAGCAGCGCTGGCGCCTCTTCCCTTAGTCACCGCAGCAGCGGGGAGCAGGCGCGGGCGGCGGGTCAGCCCTCTCTGTCACTTTTTAAAAATTGAAATATATTTGATATAGAACACTGTGAATTTAAGACGTACACGTGTTGATTTGATCTATTTACATATTGTAATATGATTGCCAATGCAGTGATAATTAGCGCCTCTCTCACGTTTTCCTGGCGGCTGGGATGACTGTGCCATCGCTGGAAGAAGGAAGCAAACTGTTAACAGCAGGGTGCTAGCAAAAAAAAACAATAGCACACATTAGTCTTAGGGTTATAAAAACTTTCACTTTAAAAATTCAAGGAAACCCAACTTTAAAGACCAGGGGAGTGGTATGTCTATCATAGACTCTGGTCACCCCTAGTAGACAATCACTCCAATTTTAAATAAGCATTTATAATAAGGGCAAGATGCAAAGGTGAATTTACAATAGGCTATTAACTATTTTTAGAAGAGACAAAGAAAAACCTAGGTGGAGTGAACTTGAAACATTTAAGACTCAAACTCAGTGCAGACTCAAAGTTTCAACTGAGGCTACATCAGAGTAGAACTAAGACTCTGTTGTTTTTTCTTCCTCTAAGTAGTACCCACGTGACCAGAGCATCAGATTCTCTCCTTTACAAGAAAGATTACTCAGCAGCAGGTAGCAAGCCAATGGAACATTTAGGAGTCTTTGACTATTCCAAAACTTAGACAAAAATATGTGTACACACACACATGTGCCTGAGATGATTTGTGAAAGAAGAAAATGGTAAGATAGAGGAAACATCCTTGGTTGGAGGTTGGAGAGAGACAAGAAAAGAATGGAGCTTGACCTTCAAATAAAAGCATTTAGGTGTAATGACATTTGGTAAAATTCTTTATTCATATAAAGTATTGATTTTAGAAAAAGAAACTTAGGAGTGCATATCTTTTCGACTTAGTGTTTTTGTGTTCTTTGGATAAATACCCAGAAGTGGAATAGCTGGATCATATGGTATTTCTAGCTTTAATTTTTTGAGGAATCTCCATACTGCTTTCCAGAGTGGCTGCACCAGTTTACATTCCCACCAGCAGTGTAAAAATAAGTTCCCTTTTCTCTACATCCTCTCTAACACTTGTTATTTCTTGTCTTTTTAATAATAGCCATTTTGGCAGGTGTGAAGAGATTATCTCATTGTGGTTTTTTGATTTGCATTTCCCTACTAGTGATGTTGAACATTTTTTCATGTGCCTATTGGCCATCTGTATATCTTCTTTGGAGAAATGTTTGTTCAGATCCTCTGCCCACTTTTAAATTTTTGTTGTTGTTGAGTTGTATGCACCCCTATGTTCATTGCAGCATTATTCACTATAGTCAAGACTTGGAAACAACCTAAGTGCCCATCAGTGGATGAATGGATAAAGAAGATTTGGTATATAGATATGATGGAATACTACTCAGCCATAAAAAAGATAAAACCTTGCCATTTGCAACAACATGGATGGACCTTGAGGGTATTATACTAAGCAAAATAAGCCATCAAGAGAAAGACAAATAGCACATGATTTCACTCAAATGTGGAAGATAAAACAAACACATAGAACAGAGCATAGATTGGTGGATACCAGAGGTGAGGAGTAAAGGAGTATATTTGTTTGGTGACAGATAAGACCTAAACTATTGGTGGTGAACACAATGTAGTCTATACAGAAGTCGGAATATAAGGATGTACACCTGAAATTTATATAATTTCACCAACTTATACCAATGTGACCTCAGTAGAAAAACTTTGTAGATTTCTCTCAAAGCAGGGCATGAAACAGTGCCACCCATTTTCACCAGATCAAAGCCCCCAGATCTCCCTATCTGCCCTCTCAAAGATCTTCTTACAGGAGACCACTTCTAACGGTTTAACTTGTAATTTTACATAATTACACATACCTTTTTTCTTCCACAGCTTGATTTTCTTCTGGATGCGTACACTTTAATTTAACCTTTCGCTTACTATTAGCTGATTAACTTGTTTCTCAAATTTCTCAATTACAAACTGCTGCATTGAATTTCTATTTTCATCTTTGTGTCCACATTGGAATATTTGTAAAGGAGAGCTTGCTAGAAGTGGAATTGCTAGGTTAAAGACTGAGCAACTTTAAAATTGTTATATTGGCAAACTGCCCTACAAAATGGGCATACCAATTTATCTTCTCACCACATGGTATGAAAGCTATTTTCGATATACTCACCCAAACTCAATGTTACCAATCTATTTTATGTCCATATGTATCTGTTTTCTTTTTTCAATATCTACCCCACTGTTTTAACTATGCAGCTTTATAGAATATTTTACTAAGTGAGAGGGCAAGCCTATTCCCACTGTTCAATTGGCAGTCTAGGTCACTTGTTTTTCAGATGAAGCAACCTACTAAAATATATAGAAAATTGGTTGAAGGAAAAATATATGGACGGCTTCCAAAAATATTGGTTTTGTTCTATTAAGATACACTAGAGTGCTCATTTTATTCTTTAAACTACATGTACATTATCTATGCATGAAAGAGTGCATTTTACCAATCAAAAGAAGGTGGTGAATTAGATGGGAAGACTGTGGGAACTGAGGCCCAAGGCAGTTGTGGAAGGTTGTCAAGGAACAAAGGCAAAAACTCCAGAAGTTGGAAATAGTGACTCTCGTTTGTGCATTTTTGCAGGTAAAATGATTGAGGGGTATTACAGATGCCAGTCTGGACTGTTTTTGAGTAGACTGACAGGACATCACAGAAAAGAGGTCACTGTTGACAGAATCCATGGAAACCTTTTGAGTTTGGCGGTGGAGCACATGACACCTGTCTCGAGGTCTCCTGCAGCTCCACTTCAGCTACGCCAGGTTGGCACTAGTTCCCTCATCAGAATTTCTCATCTCCACACTTCTGATCAAAATAAGGCCTTTTAAAACATCACTAAGAGCGGGAAGAAAACAAAGCCATGTCCTCCTGATGTGATGCACTGAGAAAGATACAATATGATTTATCTAGTATTGCTGCCAAAAATATATAACCTAGATCTCACCATGAGGAAATGTCAAAGACAAAAGCAGGATTTGTGAGTGAGGGAGAAAACTGCAGACAGTCTGAACAGAGAACCTGCCTGCATATTTGGGGCAGGGTACACTGATTTGCAGCAAATAGGTGAGTGTGGACAGTCTGTCTTTGAACGGGCTCACTAAAGGTATCAAAGAATACAATTTCAGTTGTTTATGGATTCTCTGGAATATCTTGAGAACTAAGCTGTGGAGCATATGTGACAGGCTATCTCTACGTCTGCCTGTGTACTTCTGTTAATACCTCAAATTCAGCTATGTACCTCTGTACTATTTACCTCATCAGAAGTTTTCATTGGACACCTAGGAAACACCTTATTTACAGCCTCCCTGAGTCCTTCTGAAGCACCTGTATAATCAGGATTTAAGAAGGACTCGCACTCTACAGTGTCATTCCCTAAAAAAGTGGTTGTGATAATCAGAATTGCATTGAGTTTTTAAATTAATCTGGGAACTGACCACATCTATGCAACACTCGACTTTACTATCCAAGAACATAGTGTCTCCATTTATTCAGTTGTTTTTCCTTCTTCCCTCCCTTCAAATGTGGTCACTGATTTTAGGCTTTGTCCTTTTTATGTTTATTCATAGACATGTCAATTAAAGAAATAGTTTCTATATTTTATCTGAAATAAGTTTTCATTAATCTGAAGTGAAATGCAATGAGTTAAGATTTTTATAATCCCTAAGGGAAAACTAATGAAAAAATCATTTAAAAACAGTAATTAAAATGGTACATAAAAACTTATCTAACACAAAATAATGGAGGAAAAGAACAAAAAAGACATAAGACAGGAAACAAATAGCAAAATGTCAGATATAAATCCAATCATGATGATAATTACATTAAATTGGAATAGACTAAATCCCCCAATGAAAAAGCAGAGATATTCCAACTAGATAAAAAAGCCAGATGCAAAAGACTACATTTTATATTATTCTATTTATATTAAATGTTCAGAAAAGGCAACTTCGTGGAGACAGAAAGCAGAGTGGTTGCCTGGGGCTGGAGGGTTAGGGTTAGGGTTAGGGTTAGGGTTAGGGGTTAGGGTTAGGGGTTAGGGTTAGGGTTAGGGTTAGGGTTAGGGGTTAGGGTTAGGGGTTAGGGTTAGGGTTAGGGTTAGGGTTAGGGTTAGGGTTAGGGTTAGGGGTTAGGGTTAGGGTTAGGGTTAGGGTT